ACTGTTAATCCTACGAAAGCTAAGGAAGATGATCAGTTACCAGTCTGGGAAGCTCCTTGAATCCATCACTTGAACATCCAATATTGAAATAACCTGTATATAACAATGGACTCTATATTTAATATCTTGATTTTAAAAGTCTCAACTATTTTACTTTCATTTTTGCTTCATTTGTAACTTCAATAGACACCTCATCGAATTGGCTAATATCAGCAGCTAGAACTCTAAACTTAAAATGGATTTCAACTGCAGGTCTAAACTGATTAGCAGAAGTTATATGGTGCCTGAAATAAGAACCAAAAATGGAATAGGTTTACAATGGCATAGAACTCCAAAAACCTTATGAAAACATTTAAAAAAACACATAACATATATCAATAAATTCTTACAGAGGAATGGAATTTACGACATCTTCAAACCACCTTAGCAATCTGTGAGGCCTTTAGTAAAGAAGATGGTCAAGTGACATAATCTTGCACAGGTTTTGAGCTCAAAGGAGGTTTCACAATTCCAATCTAAGCCTTCGATATGTCCTAACCCTTTCGTTAGTAATCAAATTGGGATATTCCATACTAAAATGACTAGAATAGAAACCTAGAGAATGATGTGCCTCCTGAAAGTGCTAATAGAATGAAAAACAATGCAGACAGCTTTTTCCAATGTAAAATCAAGGGTATAAAAGAATATCATGTATTTTCTCTCAAGATCCTCAAAGACTAAAACTTGAGAAAACCAATAAGGTCAGATTGAAAACATGCATAATGCACCATATCTTAAGAACTTGAATCAAATTACTTTACCAAAAGATATAACAAAACTTAAAAAAGAAGTTATACTACTCAGTAGAATCACGAGTATAAATGGATAATATACAATAAACACACAGAAACATGTTAAAAAAAATAAAGTAGCTACAAGGGGAGTACAAGATCATTTACTAGGCGTATAACAAGTTAAAGTAGCTAAATAAGGAGGACAATGACTTGATTACATGAGTTAAACTGGCAGTGGCGGATCCACCCTTGTTCAAAGTGGTTCACTTGAACCACCTCATACAAAAGTTCTCTATAGCCTAGTGGTATTGCAGTTGGTAACATTTTGTAAGAGGTCTGGAGTTCAAACCATCCAGCCTTCGAAAATTTCTCTTTTAGGCTTCTTTCCTTTTACCTCCCCTCTATTCTTCTTCTTCTTCTTCTTCTTCTTCTTCTTCTTTTCCTTTCATTTTATCTCTTTGTTCTGTCTACCTCTTTAAGGCCTTCTATAAATATTTTTGTTTCTTATATATATAAGTCAAATCATTGTTTAAAAATGATTGTTTTTCTCTTTAATAACCCTTCCTTTATTTTTTCCCCACCTGCTATTATTTGAGAAAAAAATTTAGTGTATATTTTGAACCACCACCAAAAATATTGTAGATCCGCCACTGTAAACTGGTGGTAGGATATACTCTACGCTTACTCAAGCTTAGGAAGGGCAATTTACAGTTCAATCATCACATTTCATGCACTATCTAAATTCCCCCGAAAATTCTCTGCCAAAACATACATCTGGTTTTTATAAGGAGTGAGTCGTAACTTGATTGGTGCATACAATCAATAAATGCCTTTCTACAAGTAAGCTATAACTACAACATTTTAGACATGATTAAGGTCTCGAGAAATTTCTATAATGTATGGCTAACAATCTCAACCTCAAAAAAATCTCCTTAATTTGATGATATGATATCTAAAAGTGAAGACGTTGCGGGTTTATTTCGTTAATTGCCACTAGAATAAAAAGGCCAATGAAATAATTCAGCATTCTAAATAATACATACAATTATTATCAACAATCTCACCAGCATGGCTGGAATACCTTTGTGGTATTCCATCCTTTTTCTCAAAAAAAAAAACAATCTCACCAGCATAAACTTTTTTTAAGATTAGACCATGAGCAAGAGTTTAGTGGCAACAAAAACATAAATTTAAATGACATTTCTAATAAAATTAGCCAAAAATTGCTCTAAAATAAATCAAAAAATACCTGAGCTCTAATGAAAACAGAGAGCGCAAAAGTGGAGAACTGGCCAATGTAAATCCCGTTCTCATCTATGTGCCCAAATGTTAAGTTGGACTGCAGCATGATCTTTTGCAGTAATCAACCGATTCGTCGCCGAACTGAGTAAAATCGGAAAAAAATAATCAACAAATGAAACCCTAAATCAAAAGAAATCAATCAAAGAATGTTATATTCATGCCATTTTCTTGGGACGTAGAGATCGATGACGGTTCCCTCTTCGTTTTGCATCTTTACTCCTGGATTCAGAAGAAAATCGAATTGTTAGGAATTTTTTTTTGAAATTTTAGGTCGAAAATAGAAGGAAAAAGAGAAATTTGGAGCCTCACGAGAGAGAGAGATTTGAGAGTCAACGGCGGTTTAGAAGTCTTCGTTCTGCTTCGACGGGAAAAAGGAGGTTTTGGTCGCGGGGGGGGGGGGCAGGGGGGGTCGGCGGGTTGAAGAGGCTGGGGACAGCAGGGTTTTTTGAAATTGAAGAGATAGAAATAAAAATCACATTTTGGGTCGTGGTGAGGTCGCGGGTGAGAGGCTTAAAGCGGAGTAGGTTTTGAGGGGGAAATAAAAATCACCACCTTTTTCCCCGTTTTATTTGATCCCCAAATTTAGTTTCCCACCTTAATTTTAATAAAAATATCTATTTTCTTTTTTATTTAATTGAGATATAGTTGACAACCGTTTCAAATAGAAAGAAAAGATAAGATTTTATAATAATCATATCAATAAGCCCTAATAACAACAATTTAATCAATTAACCGTTACTATGAGAGGCTTTTGTAGTAGTGAAGAGGACTCTTCATTCGATATATGATGTGTTCGTGCATTTATCATGAGACTTGACAACTTGTGGTATGCATGATTAGGCACCATGATGTGGATTATACATGATGATGGTAAATGCTATGTGTGAACTTTTGGCATGTTCCTCGTGACAACCAAACAAAACCAAGAATCGATTTAGTATACTTTGATCAAGCAAAATATATCTCTAGAACTAAAAAACCCATGTAACAAGTCATTAAAGATATGCTTTTTATGTTTAACAAACATGATTTGTAACTTCGGAAACATAGTTTGAGAGGGAAACCACAAGATGGATGTTCTCTATAGACTATCTTGTCCGCATCTAGTACATAACATATCATGAATAACCGGCAAATAAAAGGATCATGTGGGTTCATTATTGAGGAGGAAATGGGTACCTCTTAGGAAGTGTGTGGCCTAGGTTTGTGCTTAAGCGATAATACATTGAAGGAGTTTGAAACAAAGAGCAAATCTGAAAACCATGATCAAGTTCCCCATGGGCATTTCAACATACACTACCTTATATTGAGAACTTTCCCAAATAACATCTACAATAAAAGTTATGTAATAGTTAGGTAGCACACACTACCTGCAGATGCATCACATTTAAAGGATCTAAGCACACTAGTGTTTGATATCTGTTGTTGTGTATATCCGTTGTTACTTATACACCCATTGTTTGTGTCATATTGGTTTTTGTGCTACATCTTTCTTGATCAATGAGTACTCTAAGAAGTTCTTAGTTATGTTCTTTCTTATAATCACACACAAGTCATGCATCCATGTTACCTGTTACATGTGCATACACCACATCCATCAATTTACAATTTGCTAGACAGCTTTTTGACTGTCCTCGTTTGCACACTAGCTGCGGACTCCAGGTGTTACCACATCATGTGAAGGCACACCCATATCTAGTGATTCTCAATTCTACATGATATGTAAGCTTTTCAAGTCAAACGTTATCTTATCTACCAATTTTTTGTTATCTAGGCTCTATGTTTCTGCTCATGGAGTACTTTTATGTACTGTTATCTAGACATCGTATTTATGTGGTCGGACGGCTTATGATTATGTAATATTGTCAGAAATCGTTTGTATAAAACTTTTGATATTTTATCTTATCAGCTATCTATGGGACTTGTTTACTGATACAGTATTGTCTATTTGTTTCTGATGTTCATTCTATCTGTACTTATGAGATATTCTGTGATGTTATTCTGGATATTAGATGTATTTTGATGTATGTACAAGATGTTCTGAATGGCTTAAGTATGTTTTTGGATGGAGTTTTTCCAATTGCATATGTTGTCTAGCCGAGTCACGTGCTCAGATTAGGTCGCGGGGAATGGCATTGACAACCTATTGTCAATGCTATGGACAGGATGTCATGATAGTAGATGATTTAGGTTACATATATATATTTTTAGTGATTTGGTTTCTTATAGTGAAAACAAGCTACAAATTTTCTTTCGAGCACAAAAGCAGAGTAGGCAGTGTTGCTTATGCGACGACTGGATTGGTCAGGGTTTCAATAAATATTGCGTGATTTGCATATATTTCTGGATTGCCCTATACTTGTGGTCTATAATATATCTAACTGCTAATATTATACTCAATACTTGAGCAAAGCATGTTAAGATTTATTTTCTTTTTTTCTTTTTATCTTAAGATTCATGTTAAGATTTACTCTCATTTTGTTCAAGAAAATGTTGCATTGAGTGAAGTTGTGTTATACATTTCTATGATTGATCAGCACGTAGAAATATTTTAAAAGGTTTATAGTCCTATCAATTTCAGCTCTTATGATCCAATCGGCGCGCGGCTCACCATTTGATTAAAGGGAAGCGTTAGCATATATGCGTGTAGATGGTTCTTCTGTAAATTACATTCATTGTAACCCTATCTATCACACTTACATTATAAATATAATCTGATGGGTTGCCGAAGATTTATGGCAGACTCATTAAAACTTCAAAATTTTTGATATACCAAAATTACTTACACAAGTTGAGTCCAAAATCAGCCCCCATCCGTAAAATGACTAGGAAACAATTACGGCCAATAACAGATAAACTCATGTCTAAAATGCTAGAGAACAAAATTTTCAATACGACTTTCAGGTATAACAGAAGATTATTGCATTGACGCTAAATATGAAGAAAGATATCATCAACATCATTGACATTTAGAAATTACATTTATACTGAAGTGCATTGCCACTACAAGAAACAATACAAACAGTACGTAGAGAATGAGGGAGATCAAATTTTCATCCCCAAATATACATCCCTCAAAACTTCTTAATCTATGTTGGTCACAGGACCAGTGAACCAATGTCGTGCACTTATAAACCATGATGAGACGGTAAGAATAAAGAGGCCACCAACGGCAACTGGAGTGTAGTTGAGAGTATCCTTTGTGATGGGATAGGCCACTGGTAATGAAAAAAGAACTGTGATGGTCACTACCCAGAGAACTGCTATCCATCCTACTAAAACCCCGTATCTCCTGAGGTTGAAGGGACCCGGGACAAAAGATTTGCGTGCAAGCGTCACGCGAAAAAAGATGGGGAGGGCATAAGCGATGTAGAGACCGATAGTAGCTATTGAAACCATGGCTTGAAATGCCACAAGGCTCCCAAGAGACTGCAATGAATAAGTATCAGTAAAAACAATATTCAAGTATGTAACAAAAGAAACATTTTAATTTAGAACATGATCACAAAAAATGTAAGTTTAATTTATGAGATATCATATACAATTTTCTGCAAAGAAAAATGGACCATCGTATCTTAAAAAAGAAATTATGAACATGAAAATCCACATATCGTTGAAGGACATTAACTTTGTTAAAAATATTATGAGAAGGATAGAAATTGAAGCTCCTTCTTGTGTACGTAAGCAGTAATTTGTTACAGGTATCAATGTAATGAATATATGCACATGCCCACACACACACACATATATATATACATAAAACACACCCCCACACACACCCACATGTGGATGCAGGGGACAAATGGGGGGCCCACCCACTTGGGTGGGATTTCGTGGGCGGCTGCCCACTGTGGCGCGCCGCACGGCGCGGGATTTTTTCCCGCTGGCGGGATTTTTTCCCGCTGATTTCTCCTGCTTCCCCGCGCGCGCTCCTCTTTCCCGCCTTGTGTGCCCGCCAAATTCATCCGGATCCCCCCCTTTAGTTTCCTATAAATATAGAGGTGGGGTGTAGAGGAAAGGGTGTGGGGAAAATAAGTGGGTGTGTAGATTTCTTTTGAGAGAAAAGAAAGAGAGGAAGAGAGAACTTGTAAAGTTTGGTATTTTTCCTCATAGTGAAAACCCCCCTCCCGTGGACGTAGGCTAGTTAGCCGAACCACGTAAATCTCGTGTTTGTATTTGTTTTATCTGTGAGTTGTCATAGCTTGTAGGTTCCCTCAATATTCGGTCTTAGAGCTGATGAGAGAAAGAATGTATATTTCACTTTGATGAAATATATCACTTTCGATTCTTGTTTCCTTTGAGAAATAAGAATTTCACTATCTATTCTCGTTTCCTTTGAGAAACAAGAATATAGAGGCTGACTTGTGCTTTTGTGACAACAAAAGTCAGGGCTATCTCTCAGGTGATATCGCTTCCGCGGCGGTGGGCGTGACTCTCCGCCCCAACAATTGGTATCAGAGCCCTTATTCAGACTGGAGGTGGTAAAATTTCTGATCTGAGATGGTGGTTGAATATTGTGTGGTAAAACACAAAGAAATTGTTAAAAAAAAATTCCTGAGAGAAGCGGATTGACATAATACAAGCGGTAAATGACTTCTACAAGTAAAACAAGTAAAGTTGAAAAATACGAGATTAAAAAATTTAATGGGAAAAATAATTTTTCCTATTGAAGGATGCAGATGAAAAATTCGCTGATTTCGCAAAAGTTGCACAAGCCTTTGGCTGGAAGAGAGAAGCATAAAAATATGTCTGATGAGGATTAGGAGGAGCTGGATCTGGAAGCACGAGCGTCGATTATCCTATGTCTTGAGAGGGATGTAGCTTTCTTGGTAGACGGGGAGGAAACGGCTGCGGGTGTGTGGTTGAAGTTAGAAAGCACCTTCATGACGAAGAGTCTAACGAACCAGATCTATTTAAAATCCAAATTGTATACTTGCAAGATGGAGGAGGGCTCGTCAATCCGGGAGTACATCAACAAGTTTGATAGGATCTTATCAGACTTGAAAGACATTGAGGTGATAGTGGAAGACAAGGATCAGGCGCTTCTACTACTTCTATCTCTGCCGAAGTCTTATGAGAACCTGGTACAAACACTGATGCTTGTGGGTGATACTTTATCGATGGATGAAACTAGAACGGCGCTCTAGCGGATGATATTCGAAAAATTGCAACTAGTGATATGGCCACTGGTGGTAACAAAGAACAAGCGCAGGGACTGTTTGTCAGAGGAAGAGGCAATGAGCGAGGAAAAGGCAAAGGAGGAAAGTCTAGATCTAAATCGAGACCTCTTGCGGGACGAGCGTGTTTCAAATGCGGTGAAGTTGGGCATTTCAAGGTCGATTGTCCTAACAAGAGAGTAGGTGGGAAAAAGAACAACAAGACTGAAAGACGAGAAGGCAAGGAAGAGGCGAGCTACGCTTCAGAGGATGAGAGCAATAAAGAATGTTATGTCGTCACGGATGGCGAGGATACCTCCGGGAAGTGGATTCTTGATTCTAGTTGCTCTTACCACATGTGTCCAAACAGGAAGTGGTTTACTACCTACAGGAGCATTGATGGTGGAACCGTATTGATGGGGAACAACCATGCTTGTAAAACGGTGGGGCTAGGTGATATCAAAATCAAGATGCATGATGGAGTGGTTCGAACCCTGATGAACGTACGACACGTTCCCGGTTTGCGGAAGAATCTCATCTCAGTCGGTGCTTTGGACTCCGGGGGTTGCAAGATTGTAACAAAGAACGGAATGAAGAGGGTTGTTCGGGGTTCCTTAACAGTGATGAAGGGTTTTCGTCACGGTAATCTATATACTATCTCGGGTACGACGGTGACGGGAGATGCAGCAGTTGGAGCTGAAGGAAGTGGTGGAGAACCATATGAGCACACACGGTTATGGCATAGGCGGCTTGGGCACATGTCAGAGAAGGGTCTGGATCTGCTTGGTAAAGAGGGTTTGCTGAAGAATTTGAAGAAGCCTTGCATGGATTTTTGCGAGGACTGTGTGTATGGAAAGGCGCACAGGGTTCAATTTTTGAGGAGCAAGCACAAGAGCAGAGGGATACTAGATTATGTGCACACGGATGTTTGGGGTCCGGCTTCGACAACTTCCAAGGGTGGTTCCAGATATTTTATCTCATTCATAGATGATCATTCGAGGTATGCTTGGGTGTATTTCCTAAAGCATAAGAATGAGGTATTTGAGACATTCAAGAAGTGGAAGGCGATGGTTGAGAACAGGACGGGTAAGAAATTGAAGACACTGAGATCTGACAACGGTACAGAGTACACAGATGGTGCCTTCAAGGAGTTCTGTGATCAGGAGGGCATTGCTAGACACTGGACAGTTAGATCTACACCACAGCAAAATGGGGTCGCGGAAAGACTGAACCGAACACTGCGGGAAAAAGCAGTGAGTATGCGATCATATGCTGGTTTGGGCAAAGAATGGTGGGCAGAATCGATTGCTACAGCCTGCTATATAGTGAATCGATCTCCACATTCGATATTGGACGGTGATACACCCTATCGGGTGTGGTCAGGGGAGCATGCAGATTATGAGAGGCTCCGAATTTTCGGATGTACCGCCTACTATCACGTCAACGAGGGAAAGTTTGACGCGAGGGCCAAGAAGGCAATTTTCTTGGGGTATGCAAAGGGCGTAAAAGGCTACCGCCTTTGGTGTACAGAAGATTCGAAATTCGTGATCAGCAGGGACGTTACCTTTGATGAGAAGTCCATGATTACTAGGGTGCCCAAAGATGGTGGTGTTGATACCGTCGGGACTCTCGAGTCCCAGGTTATTGAGATAGAACCGAAAGACCAACCAGGTTCTAGTCGTGTTCAAGTGGGAAATCAGGTAGATGAGGCACTACAACAACAGCAGCTCGAGGATAGCTTGACTTCCACTAGGCCAAGGCAAGTATACAAGCAGGTACAGAAGCTGGGGGCTGATCAACCCCTGAAGCACTATGGGCATGTTAATTTGGTTGAATACGCACTCTCGATGGAGGAAGATGAGCCGGTCTCCTTCAAGGAAGCTATTCGGGACAAGGATAGCGAGAGTTGGTTGGCTGCGATGGAGAAGAAGATGGAATCTCTCCGGAAGAACCAAACATGGGAGGTGGTCCCATTGCCCGTAGGAAAGAAAGCTATAGATTCGGGTGCTATTGAGTATTATTGCTCATGGTGATCTTGAGCTGGAACAACTCGATGTCAAGACGGCCTTCTTGCACGGAGACTTGGATGAAGAGATCTACATGCATCAACCTGAGGGCTACAAGGTTGAGGATAAGGAGCATCATGTATGTCGCTTGAGGAAGTCACTTTACGGATTGAAGCAATCTCCACGATAGTGGTACAAGCGATTTGACTCCTTCATGCTGAAGCATGGGTTTTCCCGAAGCGACTATGATTGTTGTGTTTACATTCGAAAGCTTCGTGGAGGTAATTATATCTATCTCCTTTTATATGTGGATGACATGCTTATTGCATCGAAAAACAAGGTGGAGATAGATAAGCTGAAATCTCAACTTAGCAATGAGTTCGAGATGAAGGACATGGGCGCTGCAAAGAAAATACTGGGTATGGAGATTAGAAGAGAGCGGGCGAATCGGCGATTGTTCTTGAGTCAGAAGGGCTACATAGAGCGGGTGATCGCGAGGTTCGGGATGCAAAGTGCTAAGTCGGTGGTGACTCCATTAGCTCAACACTTCAGGCTTTCAGGAAAACAATCTCCCACTACAGCGGAAGATAAGGCACACATGGAGCGTGTACCCTATGCTAGTACAGTTGGCAGTTTGATGTACGCAATAGTATGTACACGCCCAGATATTTCACAGGCGGTTAGTGTGGTCAGCAGATTCATGGCGAATCCTAGAAAGGCGCACTGGGAAGCGATGAAATGGGTCCTGAGGTACTTGAAAGGTACCGCGGATATGGATCTGTGTTTTGGTGGAGATACATGTCAGATCGACGAGTTTGTGGACTCAGATTATGCGGGCGATCTAGATAGACGGCGATCTACTACTGGTTATGTATTCAAGATACATGGGGCTCCAGTTAGTTGGCGATCGATGTTGCAGGCTACAGTAGCACTTTCTACAACAGAGGCTGAGTACATGGCCATGGCGGAGGGAGTGAAGGAAGCATTGTGGCTGTGGGGTCTTCTAGACGATTTGGGGATTGAGCAGGAAAGTGTGAACTTGTGGTGCGACAGTCAAAGTGCGATTCACTTGGCGAAAAATCAAGTTCATCATGCTCGTACCAAGCATATCGACGTCAGATATCATTTTGTGCGGGATGTCATAGAGGATGGTGATATTTCTCTCATGAAGGTGCATACGAATGAGAATCCCGCGGACATGTTAACCAAGGTGGTCACAGGTAGTAAGTTTAAGCATTGCTTGGACTTGCTTAATATCAGCCCGTGTTGATCTGCCCAAGAGGGCATGGCCCTTCGGGGCGGTGATGGAGGTGAGGTGGAGACTATGTTGGAGAATGATAGCAGAACTACGGTTAGCTTGATCCTGGTGGAGGGTACGTAGGCAGTCGCGGTATAGTGACGCAGCTGGTTTGGCCTGGTTTGGCCTGGATATCTCTCTGGTGGAGTTCGTGAGGTTCTTCTGGTATTCGTCCAAAATTTGAGGTTTATCAAATAATGTACGAGGTGGAGAATTGTGGATGCAGGGGACAAATGGGGGGCCCACCCACTTGGGTGGGATTTCGTGGGCGGCTGCCCACTGTGTGTGGATGCAGGGGACAAATGGGGGGCCCACCCACTTGGGTGGGATTTCGTGGGCGGCTGCCCACTGTGGCGCGCCGCACGGCGCGGGATTTTTTCCCGCTGGCGGGATTTTTTCCCGCTGATTTCTCCTGCTTCCCCGCGCGCGCTCCTCTTTCCCGCCTTGTGTGCCCGCCAAATTCATCCGGATCCCCCCCTTTAGTTTCCTATAAATATAGAGGTGGGGTGTAGAGGAAAGGGTGTGGGGAAAATAAGTGGGTGTGTAGATTTCTTTTGAGAGAAAAGAAAGAGAGGAAGAGAGAACTTGTAAAGTTTGGTATTTTTCCTCATAGTGAAAAACTCCCCTCCCGTGGACGTAGGCTAGTTAGCCGAACCACGTAAATCTCGTGTTTGTATTTGTTTTATCTGTGAGTTGTCATAGCTTGTAGGTTCCCTCAATATTCGGTCTTAGAGCTGATGAGAGGAAGAGTGTATATTTCACTTTGATGAAATATATCACTTTCGATTCTTGTTTCCTTTGAGAAATAAGAATTTCACTATCTATTCTCGTTTCCTTTGAGAAACAAGAATATAGAGGTTGATTTGTGCTTTTGTGAAAACGAAAGCCAGGGCTTTCTCTCAGTTGATATCGCTTCCGCGGCGGTGGGCGTGACTCTACGCCCAACAATTGGTATCAGAGCTGTTATTCAGATTGGGAGTGGTGTAGCTTCTGATTTGAGGTGGTGCTCGGTAATGGAATCATTAAAACATTTCAATTTAAGATAAATTTTCGAATCAAAGTATAAATTTTCAAAGTAAAATAAAACATAAATGTTAATTAGGAGATACAAATTTTTTAACTTTCGCTTTTTCAAGTAACACTCTATGATGGTGGAAGACTTTATAAAGAACTACAATACCGTCAAAGCCATGCAAAAAGAGATGAACACAGAGAGCCAGACTGCATTTATTGGTACTTCTTGCTTGTTTACTTTATGCCACAAAGAAGAAAATGGCATTGCCCCATCTCTAGAAAATGCATATGCCATTCTGAAAACATGCAAAGAGGAGTTAGCTACATTATTATGCAACTTAAGATTAAAATGTATCTTATACGATGGAAAATTTTAAACCTACCTAGAGTTGCTTGTAACTGAACTCATACCACAAAAGAATATAGCAACAGATATAATTCCCAAACAAAGGATTCCCCCAAGTCCATGTCCATACCTACTCTTGAATGCAAGATAAAAAACCTCGGCAATTGCATATCCTCCAGCATCGTTGTCTTTGCTCAAGAGATATGGTACGTTGGTGACTGCAAATGTGATGCCAAGGAGGTAGGCCCATCCAACAACGATTGAGATGCCGATGGAGCTAATTATACCTTTTGGTCCATTTACATCTGCATTCTTTGTTTCTTCTGTCTAAAAGGTATAGTTTGAAAATAACATGTTAGAACAATTCCAACCGATGTCTTGGTAAGAAAAATAAAATAAAATGATTTGGATTTGTCATTTCCTAATAAAATCTCAGGTAACCTTAATCCTTTATATCAAACGAGCCTTTCTGATTACCCATAACAAAAGTTATTTGAAATCTTAGATAGCTAACCAGAATAAGTAAATTATAGGTGTCGGAATGGGTGATTAAAGCAAAGGCTGCAAATTAAATGATAGAAAAGATTTACAACAGTACAATCCCACTAACATGTTGTGACAAGTCACCAGATAATGGCCATAACTATAAATTATCAAGAACTCAAGCACATTTAGCCAAAATTCAAATTTGAAAATGCACCAAACTGTATCTACAAAACAAAATTATCAAGGTTAGATCTTACCATGTGAGCAGACGCGTCATATCCTGTCAGAGTATACTGGCTCATTAATAGCCCCAACACAAATATGTACAGCTTGCTATGAATTCCGGCATCATTCTCAGCATTGAAATGAGTAAAAACAAATTTTGCACTTGCCCTCTCAGCTGCAACCACTGGTGTGACAATCATCAGGACAAAAACACCTGAAAAAAATTCAGCGTGTTATGATTTAACTTCCGTCTTTAAATAAATGATCATATTAACTGCCAGAAGTGTATGCATGCTTACCTAAAAAATTCCAAGCAGCAGCTAACTGCCCAAAAAAAGATAACCATGTGATTGGAAGACTGTTTATTATTGCATGAATCAATAAAATCCCCCCATGAAAAGCTATGACGACATATTTAGAAGCAAGGTAACCTCCACCGTGGTTTCCGCCAGTGGCAAGTAGTATAATCACTTGAATTAGTTGTGCTAAGGAGAAATCTACACTTGTAGTAACAGCCCACTGCATAAAAAGAATCAACTTTAATATCTCAGATGATAACATTACATTTAAAACAGGCCTTTAATAGACAATAAGTTACCTGCCCGACAATGTTGAACCTGCATAAATTCAAATGAAACATTAGAATTATTTAGAAGAGAATAATCTGGAAAGAGAAAGGAAAGTACTACTTTACTTCAGCCCCATGACCTAAAAACTAATTTTTAGAGAGAAAGATACAAAACAAGAAAAAGGTTTTCTTTATAGGAAGTTCAAATCTAAATTCATACAAAATGTATGACAGCAAAGAACTTCTTACTATCTTATTACAATTACAGAAGGAAGTTTCACTTTATAAAAAGTCTCTCTTCTCAATTCCAATATTACTCATACTGGACCGTAAGTTATGGAGATCAACTATGTTCCTACCAGTAAATTTGAACAATAATTTAAAGTTAGCCATGAATCTGCAGCATATAGTAGTTCATAAGCCTTTATAAACTACTTTTTGCAAGAAAATAGATAATGTTCAAGGAATTTGACAAAGATCTCACTGTAGAATAGAAAATCATGCTTTGTTCCATCTTAAAAAATCCACCTCTTGTCAAATATATACATAAACATAAACTGTGGTCATTGCAACAACCAAGTACATCATACCCTGAATAATATCTTAGAATCATCAAACAGACATATACGAAGAAGAACCGAAAATGTCATCATAATGAAAACACCATCTATCTCTCAATAATGCTTGATGCTTTTACTGAATCAAAGGGTTCTATCTCTCATTAATGCTTAATGCCATTTTACTGAATCAAAGGGTTAAGTAATTACTCATTGAATATAATATTGAATATAGTATAAGTTTTTCTTGCTTGTTTTGAGTTAGTGTAGTTGTGTGTTTGCATTACAGATAGTTTCAGTTGTCTTGTGTGAATTTTGGATACCCGACTATAGAGAAATGTATTTCCTATGTGCTTTACAAAAGATTCTTGACTAGAAACTCATTATCCTATACAACATAATACTTCATTAATGGGAGTATACAGTATTCATAGAATAAAACATTAATCCAGACGCTTAATTTCATTGACAAATGAAAAAGGGTCATTATCCAATATTTAATGTGCGCACATACCAGCATGCACACACATATGAACAACAAAGATGTAACTGAAGGCAAAAGAAAAGAATTAACTGCTACGAGATATCTAACTAGGCAAGCACCTAGAATCAGAAAAAAAAAACATACTACATTGGGATTTTTTTTAATCCTCCAAAGGGGGAAGTTATATAACTAATAAAAAACAAACAGAAACATTTAAGACTTACTAACGTGAGACTATAATATAGTTAACTATGTATACCATCCAGTCATCCAGGATGCAAAAGGCGCCCAGTCCATCCCCGAGAGCCTGGCACTCCAATAATACAGACCACCAGAGGTTGGATACGATGAACAGATCTCAGCCATTGAGAGGCCGACCAACATGGTAAAGAAGCCAGCAATAAACCATCCATAGGTCATAGCAAGAGGACCACCGAAGGTGAGCCCAGTGTTGTATAATGTTGTTATACCAGTGAGAACCGATATGATGGAGAAGGAGAATGCAAAGTTTGATAACACCCTGGGAACGAGAGTTTCATTTTGAGAAAATATACTTAAAAAACATGTATGCATTGAAGAAAATATATAAAGATTGAGTTTGAATTAATTGCAATTTGTTGCAGGGAAAATGAAACATCAGAACAGTACTAAGTTGGCTTGTTGGAACTGAGACCAAGAACAAGGACCATCATAAATCGGAAAATAGAGAAAGGATGAATAGATTGGATATTGGCAATAAAAACCAAAATAAAGTTTTTAAAAAAATTGTATATATAAGTTGTTACCAAAAACACGCAAAAATAGAAAAAATAAAAAATTAAAAATCAGGAGCTGAGATGTTAAAATATGAGAAAAAGGGGTTCAAATCATGCAGTATAAGCAATAGAAGGAATATCTCCCAAAGAAAAGTGAAGCAGGATTAACTGTGATGGGGTGTGGAATTAGACTCATTTATTCGATACTTAAAACTGAAGAAAATATTAAAAATTAAAACCATCACTTATTTGAAAATTATAAGGAATGAATAGAAACCTGTACAACTAAATTAAGTATGGCAGCAAAAGACTCGTAAATCAGAAGCTCAATGTATTATAAAAAAAGCAAGAAGAAATCTCAGAGAATGAACGAAAAGAAAAGAGTTTGGAGATGAGTATTGCCAACAGAAAGTAGTAAGGACTGAACCAAGGCCCTCAGATAAAAATGACAATGTCTTGAAGAAAAGATAGGCTGCTCAACCCCATTGAATACTTGATTAATAAGATTCTAAGGAAACAAATTATGATAAAAATAATAAAATCTGTATTTGATAGTGCCCATATGATCTCATGAATGGGATGATCATTTCATCATTGTAAACTACAAATAATTTTTTTTAAATAGAGTTTAGTTAAAAAAAATAAGGCATTTCCGACAATACAATACATTAAAATTTTTAGAATGTGAAATAATTTAAAATGCCCAACAAATGAAAAACTGGGTATTGTTTAATAACAACACTTATTAATTCAAATTCAAACTCATCAAAAAAGAAAAGCAATGCTATGGATTTTAGTATGGCCGTCATGAAAACATGAACAGAATATATGCGTATAAAAGATGCAGTATAAAAGATGATGTATTTCCAACCACACCCACAAGTCAAAACTCAAAAGCAGAGGAAAACCTTAAGGTCCAGTAGCACAGAGGCAGAGTACTAATTAATAATAAATCGTAAAATTCAGAATCAATGAAATAATCAATAAAATCAGTTCCAAAATTGCCCATAAGACCATAGTGAACAAAGTAAGGCATTTCTTAACAGCAGCCCCAAATCAGAAATCTGAAATAAATGAGGAAAAATTAAAGAGGCGCAACATATCAGATATAGCGTTTTGATTAACAATATAATACTCATTAATTCAAAATCAAGAAAACAAATCAATAAGATGAGCCATATGAGCGGAAAAAGAATGAAATCATCCATCAATCAAAAAATAAAATAAAAATTTTAAAAATTGAAAACAGTTAACAATTATAAGGTATTTCCATCAAAATCCACGAAACAAAAATCAGAAATTTTAGACAAGCCATTAAATTTTAAACCTTGTATCGCTTCACAATAAAAACCCATTAATCCTAATCATTGGCGAAAACCGAAAATCCAAAATTCATCGAAAAGAATAAAAAATAAATATAAATCAAAGGAGAAGAAAGATGTTTACGAGAGATCACGCTTGAGTTCTTGCTTGTAACCGAGCTCGTTAAGCCTTGCTGTCCCTGAATCCAATCCAGCTTTGATATCAATCCTTGCAGAGTCATTGCTCTCCTTCTCCCAACCCATCCACAGAGAAAGAGAGAGAGAGAGAGAGAGAGAGAGAGAGAGATTTCTAACGCTAACTCCTCTGATCTCTACAAGAGCCCAAAAACAAAACAAAAGAGTTACTTAATAGACTCCTACTAACTCCTTTTATCTCAACAAAAACCAAACAAAAAGATACTTGATACCATTCAAGACTTCACCACCAATCTTTCCTCAATTTTTATTACTCTTCGTTCTTTATAATATATATTCTCATAAAATTTTATTTTCTCGGAGCAATAACCTATGAAAACGAGTTTGGAAGGAAAAATGTAAAATTTTAGACAGAATCCTCATACAGACGAATCTACAGCTAAAAGCATGGGTTGACTGACGGCTGAGCAAGGCAAGTTGAGGTGGCGTCCTTCGAACTATGGACAGAGCTTTCGTAAATGGTGTTTTTTGAAGCAAGGTCCTTGACAAATTCTTATTAAATATTTTGCTGATGAATGCCGAAGTTCAGAACAGAAGTCACGTTATTATAATGACATTGCTTGCGTTAAGGAAAGAGCAATACACAGTAGCGGAGTCAGAAATTTGGGGTGGGAGGATAACACAAGTTACATGAACATAGGTTAACTTGAGTCAGTATAGACGTCCAAAAATACAAAAAGAAATACGATCATCATCCAAAAGTTTGCTAGAAAACATCGAAGTTCATTTTCAAAGATGAGGCTCGCCATGCAACGAGGCTAGATATCAAGACGATGCTTGCTGCATACCGAGGCTCGACACCAAAGACGAGGTTCACCACACAGAGAGGTTCGGTATCAAAGATGAGGCTCGCAACGCAGCGAGGCTCGGTATCAAAGACGAGGATCGCCACGCAATGAGGCTCGGTATCAAAGACGAGGCTCGCCAACGCAGCAAAGCTCGTCACCCACATTAAATCAAGTTGTAATGGCCACGAAGACTCAGTCAACCACATGGACTAAATCTCAGGAGTCAGTTACGCCCACGACCCCACGATTGTAGCATGTTAGTTACGTGGTAAAGACCTGAATCTTGGTTCTTGCAGCCCAAGCCATTATCAGAAGCTCTTGCGATCTGTTTCTGATTGTCAACGGGAAGCAATCTCAACTCAAGCATCAAGTGAAGCATCATTTCGCCACCTAGAATCCACCTCAAACAAAAGAGAAGTCAAATCAATCTTCTCTTCCTCTGTAATTGAGAGAGTGAGTGGTTGTAAAAGGTTCTTACTAAGTGATAAAACCCATTCTTAAAACAAGAATCAATCAACTTTAATTTTTCGACCCTACAAAAGATGGCAACCACAGTGTGAGAAGCTGTTCTCTTCGATAAATTGGTGGTGGCGCAATCAGATCAGATTGCAGTGGAAACTGAGGTTGAAACTCTTATCATCGAGTTCGACCAATCCAAGTATGAGGAGTTCCTCTCCTCTGGAACTTCGAGTTCCATGAAGGCGCGAAAGTGTCGTAGAGTCTCTTATGAGACTTCAGCCCATGTGGTTTCTGATGATTCAATTCGAGTTAGTCTCGGAGAGAAATCTTTGCCTCCTAAAGAGGAGGCTCTGAAAACTAGCCGTCGGGCTAAGAAGTGGGTTGTCAAACAACCTAATCAAGCTTCGGTTTCTACTAATCAATCTAGCCAAACTCTGGCTATTGTTGTTGAACCTCGCCCGGTCTTGACGGAGGCAGGATCTGCTGTTGCTCCCTTTCGAGACGTGTAAGACAACGTCGATGACAAAATCAAGCTTGCAAAAAGGCTCGACCATTGGTCTCGTTGGACGGTTTCCACTATTGACCAAAAGGAGATCAACCCGAGGGTTGATTGACTGAGGAACGTTCAAATAACGAACCTCATCCCCGCACCCAAACAAGCTCAGTTAATGAACCTCGTTCTCAATGTGAAGTTCGACCAACTCTAGTGAGTGCTCGAGCTGACCAAACTCAGGCTCGTCAACGAACCACGAGATAATAGTCAAACGATAAGGGGAATGCATCAAGTTAGTTCAACCAACCAACCTCATCATAAACAGATGAAAGACAAAGTTTGTACAGCTACCCAAGGTCGTCAATCTTTATCATTTAGAGGGTCTTGCTCGGGTAAAACTAAATTGCCAGAATCGACTGGGGGTAGTTCCACCATTGATCTCCGTGACTACCTCACACGTAATCGAAGCATGAGTCAGATGCAATCTCATTGCTGCTATGAGAAACTTATCCCCGTAGTGCTTTCCCGGTGCTCATGTGGCGAATCGCCATATAAATCCATGGTTTTTGAACGATTGTCTAAACCATTGGCAATTTTGATATCCAGAAGAAGGCGCATTCGTCCCAAGAAACAAGTGTCTAAGAATAGTCATATTGAAGTGATGATTAACATGGTTGGTAAAGGCAAAGGTAAAGCTTCAGCTGATTCTTCTGAATCCTCCGACCCTAAATTTTCACTAGGGTTACGACGAGCGCCTATTAAAGGACACAGTATCTATCAACACACTCGTACCCGTACCGAAGTAATGATTCCTTTGGACTATCGAAGGCTTTCTAGTATATCTGATGATGTCAATGAAGAGTCTCAGAACTCTGCTATCGCAACATCTCAGCCTTCTAGTACCGATCAAAGTGAACAGGCAAGAGCTCACATGGCAGGAAATGATGAAGACATGACAAAGAGGCTGGAAGAGCAACAATCAACTAATCTCCAACAACAAGAGTCTATCAGGCGCTTAGAAGAAATGGTGGACAAACTCCTCAAGGAGAAGAAGAAGAATAAATCTACCACCGAGGGCTCTAGATCAAGGCGTAAGCAACCTTCACCCACTGCTGAAGAAACTAGCCGTCAGAACCAAGAGGACGAGGAGGAAGAAATCTTTAATATTCAATCTGAGTCATCGGAGGCTGAATCCAACCCTCGCACGAAAGAGCGAGACTAGGCCTTCCAGAAACAACTGGATGCATTAAAGCTGCAAGGAAACTTCAAGGAACTGGGGGTGACTAGGCCCTATCCTTCTGAATGGGATGTCGTCCCTTATCCTCCGAAGTTCAAGCTACTCAACCTCGTGCAATTCGATGGCAAGGGTTCCCCTTCTCAACATATCTATTATTTCCAAGCACAGAATGGATATATAACTGTAGAGTCGAAAAATTGAAGTGTGATTAATTCTCTTGTTTTAAGAAATGGGTTCGATCGCTTTGTACGAACCCTTACAATCACTCATGTTCTCTCTCGATTACATATGAAGAGAAGATTAATTCAGCTTCTCTTTGAACGTGGGTTCTTGGTATCGAAAAGATGCTTCCCTTGATGCTAGAGTCGAGATTGCCTCCCGTTGACAATCAAACCAAAATTGCTAGAGCTTCTCACATTCGTTAGCTGGCTGGAATCGAGGTTCAAACTCCGGATCCGTACGCAGGAGCTTTGATCTCTGATGCTTCTTGGAGTCCAAGTCTAAAATCTCTAACCCCTTTCTCTGTAGCCATCCATAGCTATTTATAGGATTTAAGCACGTAACTGACGTGCTAAGATCACGGGTAAAGGGGGTAACTTCCTCCTCTAATTCAGCGCATGCTATAACGTACTCCTGAAGATTAGCCCACGTGGCTGACTAAGTCTTTAGAGCCGTTACAACTAAATCTCACGTGTATGAAGAGTCTCGTCCTTAATTGAAACGGGGTTCGTCAAGTGAGACAAGCCTCGATACGCAGTGAGGTTCGTCTTACAAATCAAACTTTATAATAAACATACTTCTTCTGACGAATTTTGTCTTCACTGACTTCGTCTGACAAACTTCGTCTTCACTAACGAACTTCATTGTCGATAGCTGGGTCCAACTACGTAGTGACTTTCTCTTAGACTAACCTCATCTCCACTGACAAGCCTCAAGTCTGAACCTCGTTTTTACCAACGAGCTTCGTTGTTTGTTATTGAGCTATACTAATCAGCGACCCACGTTCTCGAGGTTGATCTTTACTAAACAATGAGTCTCACCTCTGATTGAGATGAGGTTTGTTTTCCTAACCCTCCTTTTCATATTTTGAATTTTGGCATTTTTGAATGCTTACAAAACCCCCTTCAAAGTTTTCAGACTGGAATTAGGTTGTATGTAGTCTGAAAAACTTTGAATACCTATAGGCATCTTGAACTTGCAGATTTCATCTGACGAACCTAGTTCGGTCGTGACCTTCGTCATTACTACGAGGTTCAACATGGATATTCACTCCGAAGTTCATTCTAGAGTTCGTCCTTCTATACGAGCTTCGTTAGGATAACAGTCATCTGACAGCTTGTGGTCTAGTCAGCAATGCTGTTACACACCTTTTCTAGACCCAATAAATAGTTGCCAGCTGGTGCCTAGAGATCTCCATGAATCCCGTCCGCAGATCGTGTTGGGGAGAGATCTCATCAAATGTTTTTTCAACTTAAAATTACGACCTTTGATTCGACCTTTTCCCGCCCCTATATATATAGGATATCATCATATGAGAAGTCCTTTCTTCCTTTCGTCGTTTAGGCTATCTGAACTCCTCCTCTTCCAAAGTTTTAATCTTTCTTTCTTAGCGTGTCCTTTAAGTGAAATCAATGGCCCCCAAGACCGCTGTAGATCGAAGCAAGAGCAAGGGCAAGAAGTTTGCTGGCTCTTCACATGAACCCACTGCTCTGCCTACTTTCTCAGGTACTAGATCTTAAACTCACAATTCGCGTTCTGAAAGATATCAGCCCTATCTATTTTAGACTTGGGTTTCTTGAGGAAGATGAACAGTTTCTTCCAGACTCATCATAAAGATGATGTCTTTTTGGCTTGATGAGTCTCGTCATCGATGAGGCTCGTCTCCATGACATGTCTCATCTTTTGAGGAGTCTTATCTACAAGTTAAATTTCACATGTCCGACGACGTTAGTTATCCTGATGAGGGTCATCCTCTATATTTGTTAAACAAAATTCGTTTATATAATGAACTTAGTCTTTTCATCGACTATGTTCATTGGATTGGCGAACCTGGTCTTCAGATGATGATCTACGAACATCGTTTTCACCAACGAACTTTGCTGTACTGACAAGCCTCACTCTCTCTATCGTGGTTTGTTGAATGAATGAAATTTGTTCGGCCAACTAAGTTTGACACTTTGTTGTAACACGAGGTTCATCGTTTGAATGAATTTCAAAGTTCATTGCTGAAATAACCTTCGTGCCTTTTGGTCGTAACTGCCGCTCTAGACTAACTTTGTTTCGTCTTTCTATGCAATTGTATATCCCTCTGTTCCACTTCCCAACATGGTGATCTCAGAGAGGATGGTAATCAGGTGGCTACAACTCATCCTCATTATTCTACTCTTGAAAGTATTCCTTTGTTTGGAGAACGGGAACCAGAAGAAGTGGATCTTCTTTCTGAACCTTCAATCTCCACATTTAGACACATGATCACTGATACTCCCCTAGAGTCCATTAATCGTGAACCCATTGTGAAGTCTATTATC